AGTACATCATCTTCCAATTATATAGATGTGACTCATGAAGCATTTGCCACGTCATCTTCCACTGGACTATATGTTGCTTTTCGTAAAAATTGCAGCCAAAACGAACTATATGTTGTGTCTATAGTTAGTAAAGTTTTTAAGTTCTCAGGTGTTTTGAATGGGTAATATGTATTGCGTTCATAATCAGTTCAGTATATGCTGCGTTTTTTTTTTTTTTTATATATATATTTACACGACATTTTTATACAACCACAATTATGATGTTTGAATATTGGTTTAGTATATAACCCGCTGCATTTTTTATCTACATAAAATTTTTATCTAACCACAATTGTGATGTTTGAATTTTGGTTTAGTATATTGCGTTTATAGTCACTATATATTCAGTGTATGTTGCATTTTTTATTTACATTTAAATTTTTATCTAAGCACAATTGTGATATTTGAGTTTTTTGTTCAGCATATAACCTGTCGTGTACATATCATAAACTAATCATAAAAATTATTCTAATAAACTATTTTAATATGTGTAGATTATATAATACAAATACAAATGTCAGTAACTTGGAAAAAATGTCAATCGATTGAAAAAAAAAATGGGTTCATGAATAGAAAAAACATAAAAATAGTAATAGTAAAGAAAAAGACTATGAATTATACATATCATAAACTGCTCACAGCAGCATAGGTGTGTGGGAATCAAACAGTAAAAGAGAGCTATCGATGAAAACCAAGTGTATCAGGTAAAGGACAACGGTTAGACATATGTAATACAAACTCAAAACCGCCATGGTTCACAACATGGCGATTCTAAATAAAAGCCAAAATATTCTAAAAAATTCAAAGAATCAGAAGTCTATCAATTGAACAAAAACAAATGAAGTATGGGCCAGATGAGAAACATACGAAGCACAGGCCGACTCCTTCACCGTGGATGGGGCTGCTTTCGACATTAGATGGGGGACCTATGTTAAACATTGTATGTGCTATATTTTTTTCTTGTTGAAGATAAAATGAGCACAAGAGATAAGTTTCAGAATTTTGATAATGGCGTCAAGGATGATAATAATAATAATCCTCCCTATATATAATTCCAGAATGCGCTGAGCCTACGTGGCTGCTTCTGGTATTTCGGAATCCTATTTGGCAAAGAATCATGCTTCGTAATTAGGTTTGGATGAATAATATTGATATATTAATAATTAATCATCTAGGTTCGGGTATTCCATAAATATTATTTAGCTAACTGATGTATTTTAATATCACTTTTACTAATATAACCCTTTAATTTTTTGTAATTTTACATAGTGAGGCAATAAGTGACTAATATATCCCTGAATTTTGATTTGTTTCCTTCAATAAGCTATTGAATTATAAATATTTTAAAAGTTGATAACTTTTGTATTTCTTATCGGTTTTACATATATAATATATCAAATTAATCATCTTTTGATGATCTTCGATTTGACATCCATATTGTATATATGAAATAAATAAATTATATTTATCTTTATAATAATGAAAAATAATAATATTTATTAAAATTCATTAGAAAAATAAAATTATTTCTCAATTGATATATTTATATGTAATGTAGTTATATATTGTAAGTTAAAAAAAATTAGTATAATATAACACAAGTAAGTCGCACAAATAAAAAGTGTCACAATAAATATATAATAATATATATATTCTTATAAAAGGTATTTAAATTTTAAAACTACTTTTTTCTTATTAATTTTAGATTTTAAGAAAAAAATTAACAAACACCCGTGTAATACACGGGTGTTGTACTAGTAATAAGAAGAAGGAGAAGAAGGAGAAGAAGGAGAAGGAGGAGAAGGAGGAGAATGAGGAGAAGGAGAATGAGAAGGAGGAGAAGGAGAAGGAGGAGGAGGAGGAGAATGAGGAGAAGAAGAATTGCTGAAGAAGACTAATTATGACTAAATTTGACTTCTGGTATATATTCAAATAAATATGATAAATTTAGTAATTTTGCTAACAAAAATATATGAGGTGTAAATATATAATAAATTACGTGAAAGAGAAAAAACTAAAAGTTTTAAATTTGAATTAAACCTTGTTAATTCAACATATTAACTAAATCAAATATCAAACAATACAATTTTAGTAGTTTAATGAATCATACTTAGTGCTATTAAATTTAACGAGTTTGGCTCGACTCGACTCGTTAAGGCTCAAGTTCGGCTCGAGTTTGAGGCCTTAACGAGTCGAGCTCGAGCTCGTTTAGCTAACGAGCCGAGCTCGATTCGGCTCGAAAATAGAATTATTATATAATTTTTATAGTTCGGCTCGTTAAAGTTCGAGATCGGGTCGTTAGGCTCGAGCTCGAGGCCTTAACGAGCTGAGCTCGCGCTCGATTTTAGACTTGTTTACTTAACGAACCGAGCTCGGCTCGACTCGTTAAGGGCTCGAGATCGGCTCGGCTCGTTTACATCTCTAAATGAGCTCGATACTCTATATTATCATAGAACACATGTAGCCGAATCACAGAAAATCTGTTTGCCTTGAAGAAACAGATACCCCGACACTGTGCAACGAGTACTACGCCTTTTCTTTTAGGATAAGATGACTCAAAATGTGAAGACTGCACTATCACTCACCTCGATCAGAAGCTCAATTGTCGAGACTCACTCTCTAGGATGTGGAAGATAAAAAAGAATATGTAAATTGTATTTTTTTGTCTTGATGTTTCCTCATATGTCTCTCACTATGCACTTGTTATAGTGTTTGATGAAAGACAAAAAACATTAATTCAAGAGTAACATTAATGTGATTCATAATGAGTTTCCACATTAAACACTTCAGCGTAAAATTTATTACATTCATTTTACAAAAAGTACAAAAAAATTCTGGTAGAGGTTTTGCAAAATAAAACAAAATGAATGCGGACACTTACATAAACCACATTATTTATCTATGGATTAAAAAATATAACTCTTGTCACATGTAATACTTATTACAACAATCTCCCATAAATCCTTAGATAATAATAGTCATAATCATCATAAAATGTTTCGCAGTCGGTTTGAACCACCACTAAATTATCCAACCTTAGATAATAATAGTCATAGTCATTATAAAATGATTCGCAGTCATTGACCACTAAATTATCCAACTTCTGTCATCACCGAAATGAATGAATCTAAACCTTGAAACTTCATCGGAAACACACCTGTCAAAGGATACCGTGGAAAAGAAACCTGCAAGAACAGAGTTTCCTAAGGGGGCGCTTGTTTATGGATTTTTTCAACCAAAATATTTCATTTTGTTAACTATAGTTAAAGTTGAAAAAGTAATGTGGTTAATTGTTAGTGGAATTTAAAAAATATATTAAAATAATATTTAAAATAAAAATGATTAAAGTTGATTTTATATAAAGTAGGAGATAAATGATTGGAAATGATTGGTAGTTAAAATTATGTGAGTGGATGAATAGTGAATTAAAGTTGATGTGATGTGTAAGAATGATTGGTTTTTATTATTTAATTGTATGAATAATATTAAAGATAGTGGGGTTGAGTTAAAGTTGAGTTAAATATTTGAGTTGAAAAAATTGGATTGAAAAAATCCATAAACAAGCATGCCCTAAACTTCATCAATAAGCAGGTAAACCACAAAGTTTTCTAAAACTTATTTTATTCTAATTCCATCCGCCCCTCCTTTCTCCCATAAAATTCTTCATTTTGATACAAAATAATTTAAAAATATTTAAAAATAAAACAACTATTATACTTACAAAACTTAAATACAAAATAATTCAAAATTATTTAAAATAAAACAATTTCATATTTTAATTTCAATACAACCATTGCATAATTTTTAACTTCCAATAAATAATAAAAAGATTGAGTTCAGACTTTTTATATAGCTATGAGAAATTTTATAAAGTTAGAGATATTTTAGGCCTAAATGTTAGATGGTTGGCTCAGACTCTAATTTGTAAACGTTAGATATTGTATCTATGAAATATATCCCTACAATGTTCTATGTTACACTACTAAAACACTCAGTTTTATTTATTCAAATATATACGTATGTATGGATTTTTCCGTTTTTCTATAACAAATTTTGCAATTATCTCCTAACAGCTGCGAGTTTTTTTTCTTTAACAGTTAAATGCTCCCTTGTGGTCCTATTCGGCTCGATTCTGGATTAGTCAGTTCCCATGTGGATCCAGAAACCGGAAGGTTCCTGTACCAAAAAAAAAAAAAAATTAGAAAGATTATTGTAAGTTCTCAAACATCTTTGCTTTGAATTCATTTTGCAAGAAGATGGTGGTAAAAAAAAATTAGAAAGATTATTGTAAGTTCTCAAACATCTTTGCTTTGAATTCATTTTGCAAGAAGATGGTGGTAGATAGATATAGCTCGATTTTGCTATGAAGCCAACAATTGACTCTATAATGGAGCCAACCTTCTATATACAACAAATAAACCTACCATATCAATAGAATTATATTAATGTTATTTAAGTAATCAAATAATATAGTAAGTTTATTTGTTGTATATAGAAGGTTGACTCCACTATGAAGTCAACTATTGGCTCCATAGCAAAACCGAGATATACCTTTGAGCATTTGAAAAAGACATTTCATTATTTTGACATAACTTGTAATCCTTTACCCCAACAAACACAAACCTAATCCAAATTCAAACCCATTCAACAAAGCCCCAAATCATCATCTCACAATCCTTTCACAGCCCAACCACAAAACACATCTCACAATCCTTTCACAGCCCAACCACAAAACACAACCCGCACGCTCCATCCTACTCTACAATACTACTAATCCAAATTACAAAAAACCATCACACAAACAAACGCACAAAAACTCAATACAAAGAAAGAGCATAATGACAATTAAAAAACAAGTAAACAAACTACCCATGACCTCCCCATTTTGACTCCCATTCCTTGGTTACTCTTGACAATTTCACTTATTCAAGTTATTTAGCTTTCATTTTTCTTATCCCCCTTCACCGGCGCCTTTCCGGCGTCCAATGCGGCAACGACGGGCTGAAATGGGCCGACACGACCCGCGAGTCGAGAAGCTCCTTGAAAGGCGTGTAGCTCACACACCTCGGGGCCTTATACTGATTGATCGAGGCCCCGCGCGAGATCGCGTAGTCCATGAGCTCCTCGAAAGTCCCACTCCTCACGACCCGAATCTCTAGCGGGCCGATCGAGCTATCCGCGACCCGGCACTGCCGGTAGACCGAGTTGAGCGACTCCTCCATGGCGAGGCAGCACCGATCGAGAACCTCCCGACTCGGCGAGTTGATCGGGTCCTTCGCCAACAGCTCCCAGTACACGACGTAGTGTCCCGGGATCGTGCTCGTGTCGGCGTAGCTCGTGTACTCGGCAACGGCCGTGTCGAACTCGCCGAGGAGCTTCGAGGCGCTCTCGACTGCGCTCTGTAGCTCGGCCTCGTCCGTCTTGTCGGAGTCTATGCTGAGTAGGACGTTCTTGCGCCGGACAAACCGGAACTGCGGGGCCGAGTTGTGGAAGCCCGTGACCCGGAGGATGTCCCCGACCCGGTACCGGTAAAGGCCCGCGTAGGTCGTGATCACGAGCTCGTATTCCTTGCCGATCTCGACGTGGGCCAGGTCCACAGGTCGGGCCGGG